AATGTGATATAAAAGAATGAAGAAGAAGAGAAAAACATGATAGTGAAATCTGTCGGATGTAGCACAGTGCTCATTCAGTAAAGGCACAGCTAAACAGATGTGTTTTCAGTCTTGATTTGAACATGCCTAATGTTGGAGCACATCTGATCATTTCTGGAAGCTGATTCCAGCAGCGAGGGGCATAGTGGCTGAAAGCTGATTCACCCTGCTTTGACTGAACTCTTGGAACTTCTAGTTTACATGATCCTAATGATCTGAGTGATCTGTTAGGTTTGTATTAAGTGAGCATATCTGTGATGTATTGAGGTCCTAGGCCATTTAGTGATTTATAGACCAGTAATAATACTTTAAAATCTATTCTGAATGTAACTGGCAGCCAGTGTAAAGACCTGAGGACAGGTGTGATGTGCTCTGATTTTCTGGTTCTGGTCAGAATTCTGGCCGCAGCATTCTGGATGAGCTGTAACTGTCTGACTGTCTTTTTAGGAATACCAGTGAGGAGTCCATTACAGTAATCCACCCAGATGCTGATAAAAGCATGAACAAGTTTTTCTAAATCGTCACTAAAAACAAAGCATCTGATTCTTGCTATGTTTTTGAGATGATAGTATGCTGATTTACTGACTGCTTTGACATGACTAGTGAAACTCAGATTTGACTCCAGAGTCACACCAAGATTCTTGACCTTATTTTTTGTCGTTTGACCCTTAGTGCCAAGGTACGCATTTGCCTTGAGAACCTCATCTCTGTTCCCAAACACAATCATTTCAGTTTTTTCTTTGTTTAACTGAAGAAAGTTTTGGCACATCCAATTGTTAATTTCATCAATGCATTGGCAGAGGGTGTCAATGGGGCTGTAGTCATTAGGCAGTAAGGCTAGGTAGATCTGAGTGTCATCAGCATAGCTAAGGTAGGAGATTTGGTTGTTTCTCATTATTTGGCTCAGAGGGAGCATGTAAAAGTTGAACAGGAGAGGTGCCAGAATCGAGCCTTGTGGGACTCCACACGTCATGGGTGTCCACCTCAACCTATGGTCACCTATACTGACATGGTAACCTCTACCTTCAAGGTAATATCTAAACCATTTGAGGACCGTGCCAGATAGCCCAACCCAGTTTTCCAGCCTATCCAGAAGTATGCTGTGATCGACAGTGTCAAATGCAGCACTGAGATCCAACAATACCAGCACTGTTATTTTACCTGAATCTGTATTTAGGCGTATTTATTCTAGAATGAATTGGGTGCATGTATTTAAGAATGGACCATTGAATCATTGACTCACTCGTTTCATTCAACAATGCTGAATCATTCAATAAAGAAACATTGTGGTATTTTTCAGAGATGTGCAGCTGTTTCTATGTTGGATTACTTTCTATAAAGAAATAAAGTTTAAAAAGTTAACTGACAATTTTGTACAAACAATTATTTAATGAAAACTACTCGATTGAACTCTCACAGTATATCAAAGTCAAATTTGCAATCATATTTATCTTCATGAAAACATGGTCACTCTGGTCTTGTCATGTTGATAAACCTGGCAAAATGCATCTAGAAGTGTGTTTTTTTTGCAGCTATGAGATGTGTGGAAGATTTTCTGTACATTTGGAAAAATTTTAAATCTGTTGTCCACATCCAGCTCTGAAAAAGGGAAAAAAAGTGAGGTTCTGAAATGAAATATTACATTTAATTTGAGTTTTTTCTACTTAAAAATTATGCAATGGCATTCATTTCTAAATTATGTGTCAGATCTACTTACCCTTTTTGTGTAGAAATGGTTATACACCCTACATTCTCCATTCTATCTATTTTACATGTTTTTTTCAGCGGAAAGTACCCCATTTTTCTTTAAATGATGAATCAAGTGAGTCAGTCAATCGGTTCAAGTCAACGATTTAATTGATTGGCTTATTCAAATGTCTTGAACTAGACTCAGATTGCAAGAAAAACCTGCAAATATGAAGTGAATTGGTAAAATAGTTGATGTAAAAAGGGGGAAAAAACGATAACCGCAGTGGACAGAATAGAACGCCTGTTGACCTCTTATATGTTTTGTGGTCAGTGAGCTTTGTCATTCCTGTACCACAGAGCAGAGATCGGAAAGGTCTGGAATGCCCCAAACTGTTTGGGAAAGTAACGGTCTTCGTAAAAACCTGCCAGTTAACCTACTCTACCACACACACACACACACACACACACACACACACACACACACACACACACACACACACACACACACACACACACACACACACACACACACTAGCCTGGTTTAACCCCAAATCCCTCTATCCCTGTGCTTAAAATTTCTTTCCCAACATGTCCCACTTTCTTTGTTGAAAAGTAAATAATAAAAAATAAACTACATAAATAAGAAAAAAGGGTGGTGATATTGCACCGCTTTGGGAAAGCAAGCACAGTATTGAAAATCATTACAGGTAATAGCAGAATTTGCACTTTTTTATATATATATAAAAACAATTAAAATCCTAATACATTATGCAAATCATTTAATGTAGAAACAAGAAATAAGATCGATGTCACCTCCAGTTCTCTGATATTTTTGATAACCATCAAGTGTATTTGGCCTATAGATTATGTGTGTTTATATGTGCATACTGAAGAAACTGACGTCAGCACAGCAGGTTTTTAGCGCAGGATTGAGTTCTCATGCAGAAATGCAGGCTGCGGTGGGCCGATGTGGAGGTGCTGTTTAAAGAAGGACGGCTGGTTGGCCTGCTGGGCCACTGGAGACGCTAATGGCAGGGTATCGAGCCAGAGAAAAACCCTCATTCAAGCTACACTCAAAACGCTGATCTCTAATTAGCATCCTAGACCCAGTATAGGGTGGTTCCAGTATGCGCAAGTGTGTGAAAGAGAGAAAACGAGCGTGTGCTTGTGTAAATGTGTCTTTGGGAGCTCTATTGTCTCTCTGTCTTTGTCCTCCTCATGCTCTGTGTGGATGTGAGTGAGTGCTTCTCTGGGTTTTCGGTCTATGGCGACTCCAGCGAACGCTAGCGCTGAAATATCTCTTTTAAGGATCAAATTACTAAAATAGAAAAGCAGACATATGGAGTGACAAGACGAAGGAGGAGATTTGAGACTGCATGGACTTGTGTGGAACAAATACAGTTTTTTTGTGTGTGTGCATTTCGAGTTTATGATCATGAGGCACTTTTTCTCTGAGATAAATCTTCTTATTTCCGCTCCGGCTACTGGTATCCTTGGCGGCCACAGACATCGAGTCAGGTAGAGAGTGTTTATGTGTATTATCTGTGTGATTTTATTGAAAATATCACCCAAAGATGAATATCTGCCATCGTTTACTCATTCTCAAACATGTTTGAGTTTCTTCTGTTGAACTCCAAAGAAGGTATATTAAAAATGTTGCAAAAAAATGCAGTCTATAGTATTTTTTATTCCTAAAATAGGTTTTTTTCCCTCAACATTCTACAGAATGTCTTGTTTTGTGTTTAACAGATGAAAGAAATTCATAAAACCACTAAAGTGTGAGAAAATGTTCATTTTTGAGTGAATTGTTCACTTTCATAAAGCATGGTAATGTGTGTTCATTAAAATTAAATAAAGGTTTGTGGTTCGAACTTCCTCAATTTCCTTTACGTTTTTTTAGACATTTTATTTAAAAGTTACACCAAGGTGATGTAAATTAAATAGATTTTTGGTCCTACTTTATATTTGGTAGTCTTAATGTTTATATACTTGCAACACAAAATAAATGTTAATTTATTTAACATTTTTTATTTATAATAAATAAATGTGTTCATAATGTCTTGCAGAACACTTCAAGTGCCCTTGAGGTGGGACACGGGTAGGTTATAGGGGTAGTCCAGAGTGTATTTTTAAGGCTTGGTTGTGTTTATGGGGTGTAAAGCAATGTGTGCTCATGCTTCCATCATAGAAAAACACGTTGTTATTTTTTTTTCATATATCTTACTTTGATTACATACAGCTACTCTGCTAACATGAAAACGACATATTTCCTAGTTCCTCTGAAGACCCGCCCTCAAAAGGCTCTGATTGGTCAGCTAACATAATGTACTGTGATTCGCAGATCAGCTCCACATCACCAAGAAGCATCTCTGTTATAACATTACAGCGCCTCTGGCCACTCCCCTTCACTGCGCGGGATGTATGTGTGTAACCTGAAGGGTTTATGACATCATTAACCCAAATGTATTTTTTTCTGTAGGCTTCGCTCAGCGAACTTTATAAAAGCTAATAGAATAAATATGATATCATAGTGGACCACCCCTTTAAGAATGGGTCAAGGGATGGTCAATAGTGTAATTACAAATATTTTTAATTACAAATGTAATTACATGCATTTAATTGATTGAAGAACAATGTAAAATAGGTCTTTACAACAGTAAGTACATTCAAACAAATCATTCATTTCAGTGTAATAGATAATAGCTAAGACCACCTAATATAAAGTGGACTGATATTTCTAAATAATAGCAGCTAGTTGCCATGGGCATAATATAGAGTAGAGTGGTCTGTGCCTTCATAAACTTTTTGTCTATTCTTCTTCATATGTGTTTGATTTTTTTGTTTGCTTGTTTTTTCAGCACCAACTTTCATCTATTTCTTCTCTTCTCTTTGTGACAAATTGGGGTTAAAGGTCAAACAGTTCACTTGTTCTTTTGTGTGCCTGCTGAGTTTGCGTTGGTTTGTGTGTTTGTTTGTGTTTTCTTCTGTTGTCATAGTACGGTCAGAATGATTATGGCCACCCGTAAGCAAGTGGATGATATTAAACACAGTGATCAGTCACTCTGGTTAACCACCGTGACCCCGAGCAGAGCCAAAAGTGTGGAGTTCAGCATATCATATTGTGTGTTCTTCATATAACTCTATAATGTGGTTCAAAAATCACTAACGCTCCTTTTGAGAGCAAATGTGCGCTGATGAAATAGTTCATCTTTGAAGACAGACTCCGCTCTGAAGATTCTTCTGAAATCTATGTCTCTCGTTTTGTCTTTCAGTTGGGATGACAGTAGCTCAGTCAGCAGTGGGATCAGTGATGCGATTGATACTGATGACATCAACACCAGCTCCTCCATAAGCTCTTACGCCAACACCCCAGCTGCGTCCCGCAAGGGCCTGAATGGACAGGTATGACCTGCAGACGTTTATATACACACACTCGCATACACACAAACGCTTGTATAAATGGTTTACAAGGACTATCCATTGGCGTAGTGTATTTTATAGTTCTGTGAGCCGCTTTGGAATGTGCATTTTTTATTCGAAGTTTGGCATAATCTCAACTAAAGCATAAAGAGAGGATAGGACATAGAGTAGCTCCTCCCCTTATTCCAAAAACAACCAATAGCGTTTTGTTTCTTCTCAGCTCTACCTGTGACAGTAGTTCAGCTGAAGCGCATCAAATGTGAAGCATCTTGAAGGGGGCGGGGCATGTCAAATACTAGAGAGCATTTGATTGGTCAAGATTTGATAAGAACCTAAACTATGAGGTGATGAATAAAAACGTTGATCCATTTAGGTGGACATGACAAACCACAAGCTTTACAGTACAAGTTTATATCAGTTTTATATCTTCTAAAAGTTTGTCACTGTTTTTTTGCTCACTAGCTTTTAGATATCCTAAAACTCACAGTACTGATACTAACATCTAAAAAACTTATTAGTTACTTAATTTTTATTTTATCAGACATTTAAACAACACCCATTAATTGGGCTTATTCTACCCCTACCATTTAATCTGACCTCCATATGAAACCTGTGGCAAAATTAAAATCTTGTACAGGATATTTTAAGAGTTTTGAATTACGAGGAATAAGGCATGTTCTCATATCCACTTTAATCGAGTACAACTAGGTCGTAGCATGACATTATACAATTTTGTGAGGTCCTTGTTAACCACCTAAACTGGTACACACATACACACATAGTGTTGTGCATTTATTAATAAGAATTCTTATCCAGTATCGCATATTTGTGCATTAATCAGAGCCCAGAAGCCAAATTCGTGGAAAGCATTGTTCGATTTTAAGTGCTTTCACACTGTAACGTCCTGTGTGGCTTGGAGGATGAAAAGGGCTAAACATAATTACGACAACCCAATATTTTTAAGATTTCCCTGAGACATTAGCTGCTATGGATTGACATAGACAACGGACATGGTAAAAAGTGGTTTGCTTTATTTACAATAAAGATAAGGGGGGAAAAAGAATATTTAATCAATTCAATTAAATTGAATTCAGCTTTATTTGTATAGCACTTTTACAATGTAGATTGTGTCAAAGCAGCTTCACACAAATGGTCATAGTAACTGGAACAGTGTAGTTCAGGTTTTAGTGTTTAAGTTCAGTTTAGTTTAGCTCAGTTCTGTGTGGTTTAAAGTCATAATTGAGAGTCCAAACACTGAAGAGCAAATTCATCGATGCGTAGCTTTTCAGATCCTGAACCATGCAAGCCAGTGGCGACAGCGGAGAGGGAAAAAAAACTTCACCAATAGGAGAGTGAAGAAAAAAAACCTTGAGAGAACCAGACTCAGTTCGGCATGACCATTTTAATTTCTCAGCTGGCCAAAAGTCTTGTGCAGAGCTGCAGTCTCAGCAGTCAATCCAGATTGACTTTAATCACCTAAAGTATATTTACAAATGTGTACAATGAATGCAAAATTACCTTACAAATCAGTTGAAACAAACCTTATAGAGGGAAGGAATAAATCGGTGCCAACAACACCCGCTAACTAAACCCTCCCCACCTCTAAATAACTTAAGAGCAATCTGAAAAGAGAAAAAAACATCTTCGGCATCACAAGCCCCTTACTAAACTGCTCCCGCTGGAAAAACATACAGAGGGTAGCACCCGCTTCTTACCCTATGGATTAACAGGGAATCAACTACGTGTGTGTAAAATGTAAATCACGTGATGTACTTCACTTTCACTTTCTTTTTAGTAGATTTAAGCAGATTTAGCTTGGACTTACTGAATAGATGTACAACTCAAACTCGAACCAGAGAGAATAGGACAGGCACACAAATGTCACACAGAAAGACAGAGCAGTGATAAGAGACAAGGATCCCCCCAGTCTAATACGAGTCGTCACTGAATGTTTGTTTCAGAATCTCTCAGAACAAGAAGTCTTGTTTGCCTAATTAGCATGGTTCATGTTGCATATGTAAATCTAGAAATCACATTTGGATCTGCACCAAAACAACTGGTCCGAGACAGCTTGAATGAGGTAGTCTCAGCTCAATGGAAACATACTCTGGCGCGGATCAATTGTAGTAACTAACGAACCAGGCTATATCACAGTGTATTGTGGTTGTGTAATAGCCTTAATATTCTTACCAGTAAATGTGCATTTCATGTCAAATACGAAAGTGAAAGCATGCTGAAATATTAATGAGAGCTGTTTATTCACTGACAGAGATTACCATTTGATAATTTTTCCATATTTTAATCTTATAATATTTTGCATTAGGCCTATTGTTTTGTTCATTTCTGAACTGACACCTCAAAAGAAAGATCAAAGTTGATCTGCTTCATGATCTGACTGCAGTCTCGATTCATCTGTTATTTCCCTCTATAATGTAGGCCTATAATGCAGAATTCTAGCCAGTGTTTTTTTTAACAGATTGATTGATTCAGTAGATAGGTTTTTACAATCCTTGGCAACTGAAAGAAAGTCTTATCCCTCTGGTTTATATTTGGTGACAATGTGGGTGTCAAAATTAAAGTTCAACGTTTCGTTTATAATGTCTTATTGCTCATCATCATAAATTAAAATAACGATACATGACAGCTGAGCGGAATCCATGGGAAAAATAAGTCCTGAAGTTCCAACCAATGTGAGGAGAGTTTACTTGCATGGGACTTGTTTAAGCTATTTTGGTCCGTTTAGAAACTTTGCCATGTGAAAGCTAACCACACCAAGAACAAAAATAAACATTGTAACAATTTTAATCCCTGTTTTGGAACAAAAGAATCGATCCACAGGTGTGGAAGCACCCTTAATTACTCTGCTAATCTCAAAATATTGTTGTACAGACTTAATTTATCATTTATCGTAGTGTTGCATTTTTCCTACCCTGTGTATGTTAAGCTTGTAGATTGTTTGGGTTAATAGTGATAAACCAAAGTCCAAGAAGAAAACAATTCTAAAACACGTGTCAAAATCATACTAGCATTGGCTAAAAATTGGCTTACTGCATCTATCAATCATGGTTGAATACTAAACTGCCTGCATACACACTGTATTATTTCATTTCTATACCCCAAGCTTTTTAAACAGAGTAATTGGAGATCGGTCCATACAAAGCTACTATTGTTCTCAGTTCCTTTCGGTGTCTTTTCCCCCCTCTGCACAACATTTATTTTTGATCCAGCTACATCTTACATAAAGCGGTTATGTTCTTCTTTCTTCTGATGAAACTCGCTTCTCTCTCTGTTTACTTGAACCCAACTCTCACAATCCTCTACTCGAGACCTTCATAAAGTGTCAATATTTAAGCCAAAGCAATTGACATTCCATCTCACAATAAAAAATACAACAAATAAGCATTTTGAAACAAAAACTTTGAGTTTAAAGTTTTGGATTTTCTGAATGTTTACTATATTGTAATGGTAGGGCTGGGCGATATGGCAAAAATGTAATCTCAATTATTATTTTCCATATTGAACAATAACGATGTATATTCTGATATACTGTAAGTTGTTAATGCTTCCAGATTTAAAAGAGTAGCCCAAAAATGACTGAAGCCACAAAAATTAGAGGTTCCATTGAATGGCATAACATATTTTAGGCCAATAAATTTTCAGTGTCCGAAAATTTGGTAAATCTCTAATATAAACACACTTTTAGATTCCCATTGTTGCACATTTCTGCTGTGTGATTGGCTCTTAGATCAATATATAGTAAAAAAGTCCAGAGTTTATCAATGTTGACATCAATTTTATCAAGATTTGATATACTCTAATATCGTTTATTGGCTCAGCCCTATGTAATGGTGAATTTGGTAAGTGTGAGTACACTGTAAAATTATTGTGACCATGATAATCACGATAACATGACTTCAACTGTACATTGAAATGACTTGTAAAGTTGATTGAATTCAGCTTAAAAATTAAAAGTTGCTGTACTTTTTAAACAGTGTGCTATTAAAACTCTACATTCACCAAATCTGTGTTTTCCATAGCCTCAGACTGATGCAGAGAAGCATTCAGCAGCTGAACGTAACACTTCTCGATCCATCGATGAGGTCAAGAAGTCTGACGGTGGTTTGGATTGCAGCATCAAATCAGACTCGGGCCTGAAGTGGCGTCGAAACCCTTCGGATGTATCGGAGGAGTCTGATAAGAGCAGTTCTGGACGAAAAACTGCACCAGTCACTCAGACAGGGTCCTGGAGGAGAGGCATGAGCGCACAGGTTGGAGTGACTGTGCCCCGTACCAAGAGTACATCTGTTTCCTCAGGATCCAGCATCATCAAGACACAAGGGACAGGTAGGTGTTCATTTTTCAAAAGCACTTAAATCGTGAAATAAAGCATATCGCAGTATGACTTTTAATTAAATAGATATACATCTAAGCAGTTCACAATAAATCATCCAGTGGAATCTGTTTTCATCTTCTTTATATTAATTTTTCTTTTTTTTATACAAGAAAATATTGTAAGACCGCTTTATCTTAATTTGTGCAATTGTTTTAATTAAAATAGTGGCAATAATGAAAAAATATATTTATCATGTTTATATAGTTACATTAATATGTAATAAACATTGTCAGTGTGTAGTCATAGTGATTTCTAAATAGAAACCACTAAAACAAACACTGCAGATCAGAGAAATTGCTGTTTTATTTGATTTCTGTCAAACAGTATAGTTTTAATAAAGTATTGCAATTCTTAATTATTTTTCCAAATTTTTTTAGAAATATTTGTTTATTTTAACAAGACAAAACATGCTAAATCTTAATCTGTTTAATATTTTGTCATATTTTAATAGTAATATTCATAATGGAATCATATTTTACATGTTTACTATTTTAAAATAATATAAGAATAACAAGAAAAATTATATTGTTGTCATTGTGGTTGCAAGAAAGTGGACCCAGTTGCAGCAATGAACAAAAAAGTGTTTACTGATGGAATTAAGCACAAGTAGACAGACAAGGAGATGACAAGGTCAAAAGAGTAGAAGCAGGAACACAGGGGAGCCAGTGGTAAGGACAAGATGGCACCAGAATAAACAGCCAGCCAGAAGTAGGAGCAACATTGGTCAAAACCAGAACTAGATACTAGGAGCAAGCCACGTAAACTCCAGGCCAGGGAAGTCAGGACACAGGATAGGACTTGAAAAGTATAAGACAAGACAGGACAGCAAACAGGCAGCAGTAATTGTAAATTGTTTTCGAAAAGAAAATAGGAAATCAATATAAATCCTAGTAGAAAGGAAACTAGACTGACTAGGCTGAAAAGCGCATGAAACATAAAATTAAATAAAGACTTCTAGAATCTTAAAGAGAGAAATTAATCAAATAGACAACTAATAATCAACTACTAACACAAGACTGGGATTGACAGAAAAATGGAACAAAAATAGTTGTATTAAAGACAAGGATTAGGACAAAATTAAGCAAACCCTAGCAACAAGAAAAAGAAAGTAGTAGCTAAAGCAAACAAACAACGAATAAATAAAATCCATAAATAAGAGAACTAGAAGAACAGGCACAACAAAACACTATGTAAGGATACAAGCCTAGGATACGAGATAAGCAAAGACAAGCTCACATGGAACAAACCAGCAAAGAAATGAGAACACGCAGCACAATATATAGAACAAAGCATATGAGAGACAGGTGAAAACAATCAGGATACCAAGGTCTAAATAATCGGGCGGGTAGTTGAAAAAAAGGAGGAAAGACAAGAGGAGCACTTTGCCAACACAAATTAAGGCAAAGCAATGTAAAATAAATACAAAAATACCAATAGCTTTCTGTTATTTTACTTAATTTTTTTTATTAATAAAACAAATAAATCAAATGTTTATTATTTATTAATGACTAATTAAATATGATAATTATAATTTTTAGAATTGTTGTTGATATTGTATAGTCAGATTAATATATGATTTTAAAAAAATAGCAGGCGCATAAACCATAATAGAAGCACAGCAAGCCTGGACCTGTTTTTTTGTTATTATCATTTATTTAATAATTTAATCATACTTTGTAATCCCACACACAGTGTTTGACTTTATCTGCAATTTTTATGCATTATTAACTCATCCAGTTGTAACCTTTTTTCATCCATTAGGCAAAACAGATGACGCCAAGGTTTCGGAAAAAGGTTGCATGTCTCCCTCTTCCAACATCCTTCAGCATTCCTCCTCGGACACCGGCCGAAGCAGTGGAGACGAAGCCAAGAAAACCACCGCAGGCCGAGTCCCTACAAGCACATTTGGTTTCAAGAAACCCAATGGTGTCCACAACCCGTCCAATGTCATAACCACCGCCAGCATTACTTTAGTGACAGCTAGTGGTGCCACTATTACCAGTGGCTCCGCTACACTGGGCAAAATTCCTAAATCCTCCGCTCTTTTAGTTGGTAGCAGAGGGTCATTAAAAGGAGCTGTGGATGGTTTATTACCCCCTCAGGAGGATGGCTACCTGTCGCCCAGTGCTCGCTCAACGCTGCAGTACCGAAGTTTACCTCGACCCTCTCGATCCGGAGCCGCGGCCCGCAATGGAAACAGATCCTCCACAAGCAGCATCGAGTCCAGCCTACTCACCCGAGCACCACTCCTTACTGCTATTACAGCCAATAAACCCAGAGATCCTGGCCCTAAAACCAACGGGCATGCAATCCAAGCCAATCAGACGGACAAGGAGAAGGGCGTGGCCTCAGATATTGACAGCACAAGAACCAATCCGATTGTTTCGGGAGGAGGGGCAGCGACTATTCCTCAGACGGCTAGACAGGGAAACAAGTACAGCGAGGTCTCGTCCCCAACATTACGAAGGTACTTAAAGAAACTTTTTTAATTTATGAAACGTTTTGGGCAACACGATGGCTCAGTGATTAACACTGTCGCTTCACTTTGAGAGGGTTGTAGGGTTCGAGTCCTGGCTGGGTCACTTGGCATTTCTGTTTGGAATTTGCATGTTCTCCCTGTGTTTGCATGGGTTTCCTCTGGACAGTCTGATTCTTACCCCCACAGTCCAAAGACATGCGCTATAGATGAACTGTATAAACTTAATTACTAAAAAGTGTGTGTATGGATGTGTGTGTGTGTTGCAGCTGGAAGGGCATTTACTGTGTAAAACAAATACAGGATAAGTTGGTGGTTCATTCCGCTGAGGCGACCCCTGATAAATAAAGAGACTAAGTCAAAGTAATTTGAATGAATAAATGAAACACGTTTTCCAAACTTGACCTTTGTGTGCTGTTGGAGATGTTTTCATCCACTCTGGGTTGATTTTGAGTCTTAATTTGGCCACAACTTTCTGTTTGTTTCAGCAAAATGAAGTATTTTTAGTGCCAATTCTTATTTTGACACATATTTTGGAAAAGTACTTCAAAAGTTTTCAAAAACTTAACAGTACACTCTGGAAAAACGTAATACCACTTCGTTATGTTCGTGGCTGTTTTTGCCCTATTTTATTATAATGACATTTTTAATGCAAAGCCATGAAACCATATTATTATGTATTCTTGATTGTTGGATTGTTTTTGGTCAGAACATAGTAAGTGTATTTATACACGCATAGACCTCCATATAAAAGCCAGAAACTTTTTTACACAGGCCTCTTTAAAGGCTTAATGGTGCCAGTTCTTCCTGACACCAACCATCAAGCCTGCACGATTATTTGGTGTCAAGGCTTTGCAATTCAATTAAATTCAATTAATCTTTATTTCTATAGCATTATAGGTTTATTTCAAAACATCACGCTATAATGGAAGTCAATAAGGAAAAAACAGCCACGAACATAACCAAAGGGTTGTCCATTTGAACATTACACAAGGGTTAATTGAGGCAAATGTAACCCAGCAACAAATATATTCTGAGGAGTCGGTGCAATAGCCTAGTGGTTAGCGCGCCGACGTATGGTGCAATAGCACGTCAGGGCGTCGCGAGTTCAAATCCCGGCTCGACGAGATTTACCTAGCCTACCCAACCCCCCCTCTCTCTCCCACTTCGCTTCCTGTCTCAATACTGTCCTATCTATTAATAAAGGCAAAAAGGGCAAAAATAAATCTTTAAAAAAATTATGCTGAGCAAATGAGATCAAAACACTTATCTTATGAATTGAGCTTGGACACAGTTTACTCTAAGGCAATATATTTTATTTGCATAGTTTAAACAATCAGAATTGTTTGTTAAGTATTGCAGTTTAATCTTTGTGACTGGCTCTAGATTACTCACAGGATGTTTTTCACCTCAAGTGAATTTTGTGCTCGAGTTGAATTATTTGAATAACTCTCTCTTCTGGAGAAAGTCTTATTTGTTTTATTTCGGCTAGAATAAAAACCGTTTTAAATTTTTTACAAACCATTTTAAGGTAAAAATTATTAGCCCCTTAAGCTAATTTTTGTTCGATAGTCTACAGAACAAACCTTCATTATACAATAACTTGCCTAATTACCCTAACCTGCCAATCAACCTAATTAACCTAGTTAAGGCTTTAAATGTCACTTTAAGCTGCATAGAAGTATCTTAAAAAAATATCTAGTCAAATATTATTTCCTGTCATCATGGCAAAAATAAAATATTGTTGTTACAAGAAATGAGTTGTTAAAACTATTGTTTAAAATGTGTTGAAATAATCTTCTCTCCATTAAACAGAAATTAAGGGAAAAAAGCAAATAAAATGTATTTATTTATTATAATTTTTTTGTATATATATATATTTTTTTAAAACCAGGTAATAAACTGCAACTACTTCTGTTATTTTAAGACACTTTGTTAAACTGCAGAGTTGAATTTTCAACATCAAAACTGATGAAGGTCCCACAATGCAATTCATTACCATAAATAAACAGTAAAAACCTTTGAATTGTAAAATACGGAAAATGTTAATTAACCAATATATTTTAAAGTATATATTTCCATTGACATTGTATGTAATCTACTTATGCAAATACTTAATTTTGCTAATAAGAGTATGACATATGCATTAAGTAATGAAAGACTAATCTTATAAATGCTATTTGCACTTATTGTTCATTGAATCAACTAAGAGTTGTTGGAGTTATTAATAAAGCCACTTTAGCACTAAGCATTAGCGCTACTCTTCTGCACAGTGGTAACCTCAAAAATCAAAACCTTTATTTAAACTCGTCTAAATCTCCAAACTAAGATTACTTTTATTACAGAGATTACTTTCCTCTTAATACAAAGCATGCTTTAACTATACATTCACTAGCCAGATAACTAGAAAAAAAATCTTTATTTCTGTCCCAGCACAAACGTATTTATTTTATTTTATTTTACTTTTATTAATTTATTCCTTCATTCATTTTCTTTTTGGCTTAGTCTCTTTATTCATCAGGGGTCGGCGCAATGGACTGAACCGCCAACTTATCCAGCATATGTTTTACGCAGTGGATACCCTTCTAGCTGCCACCCAGTACTGAGAAACATCCCTCCCTCATTTTACCCCAATTTAGTTTATTTAATTCACCTTTACCGCATGTCTTTGGACTGTGGGGGAAACCAGAGCACTCGGAGAACAGGGGAGTACATGCAAACTCCACACAAAGATGCCAACTGACCAAGCCAGGACTCGAACCAACGACCTTCTTGCTGTGAGGCGACAGTGCTAACCACACTTTATTTTGTATTATTTTATCTGCTACAAATTTAATAAATTCAACATTATATAAATACAGTAAATTGTCTCACATTTTCAAAAAAATGTGTTCTTAACAAATTAAACAAGTAACTTGAACAAACAGCAAAAATCTTACCACACACAGAATTTCACCCTCATAGATCAGTGTTTCCAGTGACGCTTCCTCAATTAATGGCTGTATTCATCATGGCGGGCCCCTCTTGAATAGCCAAACATGTGAAAGAAGGAATGAGTTTTTGTAACCTCTTCCAGCACCATGATTAGGGTCTTTCTGAAACTGTTTACATAACCTGCTTTATGGCGGTCATGGATCACGACTCTCCAGGGTGGCTCGCCATTCCCTCGGAGACACTCCTGTTATTGATGAGCAAAGTGTGTTTAATCTTTTCCCACTGTTTCTAAGGATAAACCCATGTTTTTCTTTTGAGCTTTACATGTCGAAACGGGACATACAATGAAAACTGAGAGTCTTTGCAATGAGTTACTCGTACCTTTTTGTACTAATATTTAGGGATTTTCTAAACCCTCAAGTCAGGTTTGCCCAATCCTGTTCCTGGAGATTTACCAACCTGTTGAGTTTAGCTCCAGACTTAATCATAAACACCTGTCTGTAATTATCATGCTCTTCTGAAGATCTCAGTTCACTGGTATAAGCGTGTTTAAGGGGGATTGTAGATATACTAGCAGGAATGCACATCTCTACTCTTTGTAGATTATAAATGCTTATAAAAGATTATGAAATTGTGTTAATTAACTTCCGAAGGAAAGACAGTGCCATCTACAAACCAGAAGAGTTTATTCTTAAGACAATACAAGAAGTCTGCAATGATTTTAATGTGAAAAATTGTACTTTTTGCAAAAAGAAAGATCTAGGCATTTCCATTCATTTAATTGTTTTTTACATTTATACATATACTCAGTTCTCCTTTTTATTTTTTTCATTTGTTTTTAAATGAGCTTTTATTGTTTTAAGAATTATTTTAACTACCTATACATCAGCTATTGGCTCACATAAATATAAAAAGAAATAAAAAGTTACTGGTATAGGCAAATTTCCTCATTGGTGCATCTATTATATAGATCTCGCATAAAAAAAAATAATTATTTAAAAGTTACTTATAAAAAATAGTAATATTTTATTGTTTAAAAATTATTTTAAAAAAATAAAAATACAGTATTATTTCAATATTATTAGCCCCCTTTAAAAATATATATGTTTTTGATTGGCTTCAGAAAGTTACGGAGTGGGACGCTGACAAAAGACTTGCAGATCCAAATGCAGTCAATTTAAATCGAGGTCGTACAGGCAAGGGTTATAAACAGAAGCAAATCAATATCATAAGGGTAATCCAATAATCGTGGTCAAAATACAGGCGAGAGATCAGACTTGGTGGCAATGAATCAGAACGAAGTACAAGGCTAGGATCAAAAACCTGGGAAAATCAAACAAGGAAAACGCTTTGTAAAGTTTATAAAGAAACAAGACTCAGCCATGTGTGAGTGAAAGTGTTCAGTATTTACAATCCTTCTAATCAGTGAATCATGAGCTGCAGCTGTGACTGTGTGTGAGTGTCCAGATTATTGTCAGCTGCTATAGGAGTTGATGAGCGCAGAGAGTTCTGGGAGTTGTAATTCATTCAGAATTAAATTCCAGCTAGAGAAAACACTTCTGGTGCCTGCAATGGACTACATGAAGTAATCGCCAGCGGAGACAACACCAAAAGCACTTCACAGGACCTTTATAAATATTTTTTCCATTCAACAGCACTTAGGGAAATATTTAAAAAAGTATTACAAATTTCACAGGAGGTTTAATAATTTTTATTTCAACTGTACAATACAACTCTACATATAGGAGAATAACTAGAAGAATAAGTAAATGTATAAGTCACTTCTGTAATTCATTTGATGTAACATTTTATTCGTAATTTTTTCTTTTAATTATGATTTCTAAGTTTGTTGTTTTCTCAGTTCTTTTTTAAACATAGTTTCTTGTTCTCTTCCTTCTTCTTTCAGACTTTTTGGAGGCAAAGCTGCCAAGCAAGCCCCAGTCACCACTGCAGAGAGCATGAAAAACTCAATGGTTATATCCAACCCTCACGCCACCCTCGGTCACACCCAGTCTTCCGGCGGGCCCCTGGACTCCCCCTCTACTGTCCCAGGAAGCGGTGGCAGCAGTCCCCTGTATGGGGGTCGAGGTGCCAGCATAGGGGGCAGTGAACAGGCATCGAGTCCGGGTTCAGTGTACTCTACGGGCACCGGGACCTGGGGAACCACCATCAGCAGCTCCTCAGCCCTCGGGTACCCATCCGTCAGCAGCATGCACACCAGCAGCGAGTCCATCGACATGTCTGTGGGTAGCGGGCATCCCCGTGATGATGTCCACCCGGCACTGATGCGGACAGGGAGCGCCAAGACAGGCATGTCAGAGAGGTGAGTCTGAGAAAAACATGGTTCTAATAATGAGTTGTTGTTTTTTTTCTTATTATTTGAATTAGATTCTGAATTTTAATGGATTTTTGAGTCTTTATGGTCATATTTAACAGCCTTTAAATGTGGGAAAAGTGTCATGAATTATTATGAAGTTTGTATTAAACATGTATATATATATATATATATATATATATATATATATATATATATATATATATATATATATATATATATATATATATATATATATCAGACAGCATGTCTGTGAATATACTGGCAGTAGCAAGTCTCGGTACTTGCTCTGTCATAATAAACAAACCAGCAGCAGCAGCAGCAGCATAGCAGATCTACTCCACCAAGATCAAATACATTAACATTGCCCTATACATATTTATTATTACCATACTAAAATAATCTCTCCGAAAGTTGTCATGACAGAAATGTTTAAATGACGTTTGGAAGAAAAATGTTCAGCCATATTTTAACATTTTATTTATACGGATTTTATTTAAAATATTAAACACATGACTTTTTAAAAGACTTTCTATGCATATTACTTTTTTATTTAAGTGCGGTTTGGTTATAAACTAATTTCGAGAGGATCACATGCTTAAGATCAACACAGCTGGCACCACATTAGCTCTGTAATCTGGCCAATCAGATGATTACGGACGCATTATAAATAACCAGAGATTTTCACTCCAGTTATCTTCGTCTTGAAGTTTCCCTCCTTTTATCCGAAAGGGCAGCATGACAGCCCAGTGGCTAGCACTGTTGCCTCACAGCAAGAACTCCGCTGGTTCTGTGTGGAGATTGCATGTTCTCCCCGTGTTCGCATGGGTTTTCCCCGGATTCCCCGGTTTCCTCCCACCATCCAAAGACATACACCATAGCCAATCGACTAATCCAAGTTATCATCTAAGATAAACCTTAGTTTACACTGCCCACACGCCAACAAGCAGGGGAGTCCTGGAGACCTACCTGAGCTCAAACTCCCCTCTCGCCCTTCTAACGAGAGGGAGCCTCAAGCTGGAGCATATTACGAGCTCAGGGCTCTCTCCCAGGACAGCATGCCAATTACGCTTTATTAATCATCAGCTAAGTGTGAACTTTTGAAATTACTTTTGACAGCAAAGTTCCTGACCCATATATATTTTATTTTGAGCACAAAATATTACAGATACAAAAATGTTGTGTTTTTTAATAGTTTGAGGCTATATACATATAGGGTCTGTTCACACATGTTCTCTTTACAGCAATTTACCAGTAATTTTCCATGAAAGTGTGTGTGTGAAAGGTGTAATAACAGCATTATCAATGGAATTATGTCAATCCCCTCGATTTCAATACAGTAAAATGTGGATTGTAAGAGGACTGACAGCAGTGTTTTCATCATAAACAAGAAAAATAAATGAAACAAATTAATCAGATTCTTATTTATATTTCATCCTCCTGTGTTTGTTGACAATCCCAATTATTTATTTAAAATTCACAAATGAAATGAAGCAGTCGTCATTCTATTCCAACACCTTGAATTGCTCAATATATTTGCTAAAGGAAGCACTATTCCTCAGTTTGGAAGCTTTTTGGGGTGTCTTTAATTCTGTATTGATCTGTTCTCCGATGCTTTTCCTGTGTCCCCCTCCACATTCCCCCAGTCCCCTCTCCTCTCCCTCTAACAGTCCTAAATTCAACCGTAACACTTTGCCACGGAAGCAAGACAGGTAAAATGTCCCATAGCTTTTGGCTGCACATAAGCTGCTTTTTAATTTTTTTTACTACTGACATGGCTTTGTGTCTTTGTGTTTGCACAAGTGTATCATTTTAAAGACCCCATGCACTTAAAAATCTGATTTTTTTTGGCGTTCAGCTAAGCTCTTAGTTTTGAGGCCAGTTATGCATTGGTGCACTGCTAAAAGCAATGAATATGACGTATATTGTATAAATATATTGTAAAATTTGATCTTATTTTACTGTAAAATGACAGTAATGTTGTGATATAATATTACAGTAGTTTTCTGTTTTATTATTGTAGTATTTCTCATTTTCTGTTTTCATTTTATCTTTATTATATTGATTAAAATGTTATATGTGTGACCCTGGACCACAAAACAATAGCAATAGCTCCAAATGTGTAGATTTCTTAAATAGATTTACTTATGGCAAAAATCATTATCATTTTAAGTAAATATAATGTTCCATGGTAGTATTTTGTAAGTTCTCTACTGTAAATATGTCAAAACTCTGTTTTTTTAATTTATTTGAACCCTCAGATTTCAGATTTTCAAAATAGAGTTGTATCTCAATAATATCATTACTCAATTAATTGAACATTTTAACTTGATTACGATTAATGAACAATTGTTTTATACATTTTTTTGGTTTCATAGTTTTGTACAGTAAATATTTTGAATGAAGGGTGCATTACTTGATTTTAAGTTAACTTAAGGAAACACAAACTATTTACAATCTCATTTATTCATTCAGTCATTCATTTATTTTATTTTCGGCTTAGTCCCTTTATCAATCTGGGGTCACCACAGCGGAATGAACCGCCAACTTATCCAGCATATGTTTTACGCCACCGTGACGGCCAAAAATAAATCATATTTATCTAAACAATTCAAATAAGTAAAAAATTATATTATTTTTTAACGCTAGTATTAAATGAATGTAATACTCAACATATAATACTGCGCTCACAACATTTGTCATTGAAATAACACTATAGAAATCAGATCTTCCTGCAAAGGGTTGAACATTTTTCAGTTCAGTGGGGTCATGTGGCGCATGACTTGGTCGGTAGAGAAAGTAATCAAAGAATCAACCTGGAAAAACTAGATTGATTATAGGTTCTGAGTGTCGAATTCGATTACTTTTTGATTAATCACCCAGCCATATTTCATTTAATGTATAAATCTCCAAATATGTACACTTTTTACTGGTTTTGTGGTCCAGGGTCACATTTAGAGTTTTTTTTTAAATATATTTAATTAAGTCAAAATTCAAAAAAAAAAAAATTTTAAAAACAGAGATCTTTTGTGTTTATATCGATTTGAGGTCATCTATTCTTGTGAATGCTTAAAAGCAATGACTATAACATATACAGCTGAAGTCAGAATTATTAACCCCCTTTGATTTTTTCTTTTTTAAATATTTACCTAATGATATTTAACAGAGCAAGGACATTTTCAAAGTATGTCTGATAATATTTTTTCTTCTGGAGAAAGTCTTATTTTGTTATTTTGGCTAGAATAAAAACAGTTTTTAATAAATAAAAAAAAAAAGATTGTAAGGTCAAAATTCTTTGCTACTTTAAGCAAATTCTTTTGAATAGTCTACAGAACAAACCATCGTTATACTATGATTTGCCTAATTACCCTAACCTGCCTAGTTAACCTAACTAACCTAGTTAAGTCTTTAATTGTCACTTTAGCTGAATACTCGAATCTTGAAAAATATCTAGTCAAATATTATGTACTGTCATCATGGCAAAGATAAAAGAAATTGGGGAAAATAAACAGTGGTGCTAATTCTGACTTCAACTGTATGTAAAAATGGCATCATTTTTATTATTATTGAAAAATAAAAATAAAATCATGTCCATGAGATACATTTTTTGTCATGAATGCACTTGTTGCTATAGCGACACCTAGTGACAAAATCCACAACTTATGATTACAAAGAAGGTTTGTTTGCTTTTTTTTAATAATTACTTTAACCGTACATTCGGCATTATTTTTTAACTCTTAAGATTTATAGATTAATCAAAGAGCAGATCAAAGAATAATTAGCTTTAATAGTGCAATTATAATAAAATTAAACTATATTATGTGTCTGGAAAACTACCCTCTTAAGATTGAGCAAGCTCTACATGTTCTTCTCCTCCCTCACTGTTTCTTGTTATCCGTCTCTCAGTGATCAAAACACTTTCAGGTGCATTATGGAAGTACACAGATCTTTCTGACAGCACTGACACTTCTTTCTGTTCTGTCTTTCTCTCTCTTTTATACATGCTTTTTCATGTTTTAATATGCAATATGGCCACCGTTTAATTTTTGAGCACTGTTTTGTGTTGCAGTTTTGGTGTTAGCGCATGGCACTTGTTACTTTTTGTATAGAGTATTTTATGTTAATTAACAGTTTTTTTTTGTAAATGTATGTTTTTCTTCTAAATTAAAGCCAAACTTTTGTTAATTCTCATTTTTAATGATAAATTTTAGTGGTGTATTTCAGTTTGAAGCCTTAAACTAAGGCATCTCTAAGACATAAAAAAAAAAATTCTTGTATGCACCAAGGATAATAATAATTATTATTTTTTAAAATACTGTAGTATAGTGAAATCTTAATATATATTTGATGATTTTGTTTAATAATTTAGAGTGGACACAAAGCAGTTTAATATTATGCCTAATATTATTATTGAAACAAACTCTTTTTTTTTTTTATTTAGGATTTTTAAATTTAATATAGGGTTAAATTTTGAGAAATACACTGTTACAATTTGTGTAAATGATGAAGTATTTAGCTGTGATATAAACTGTATTTAACTGTAGGACAGTTATGCAGTATGCTACTGTGTTTTATAGCTGTATTGTAAAAATTACTGTATTTTACAGTAAAGGTAAACATACAATTCTGTAAATACATATACAGCAAGAGAAATGGTGCTGTAAATATAAATATAGTATTTTTGCTGTAAATGATTTACAGTAAGTTCCCGGCGAACTGCTGCCAGTATGTTACTGAAGATTCTACAGGAAATTGTTAACAGTAAGAAAAGAAAAAAAAACCCATTACAACAATAATGTATTCTTGCAGAATATAAATATTAGACTTTTGAAGCCTAGTAGAAATATGGCAAATAGAAATTAAAATGGAGTTAGCGATGTTTGAATGCTGAATGCTGATTGGGTGGTGGTGTTGTTGCAGGTACGCCCCCTCACAGCAACTGCGTCAGGAGGAGGCTCGTGATTGGCTGCGCTCACATTCGGCTGGTGGATTGCAGGACTCAGCCAGCAACTCTCCCTTCTCCACTGGCTCCAGCCTCACGTCACCATCCGGCACACGCTTTAACTTTGCTCAGCTTGGTAAAACACATATATTATGAATAAATGTACAGTAAAATCCTTACATAATATTTTCCATATATTGTCAGTCAAAGTTAAAAGGGGTTTACGATGAATGGATGGATTGATTGATTTTAAATGAAAAAAATGAACATTTCATTTCTATCTATCTATCTATCATTTTTACAAATAATTGCAAGAAACTGCAAGAACTGTTTTGTATGTAGGAAACATTGGAAACAGTGTTAGATTGTGGATTGTAAATGTTAATATCTTGCCACGAGAAGAAGATAGAATTTCAAACTATAAGCTAAAAAAAACAATAAATACCTGCAATAACTCCTACAAATGTGCAATTGCGAGTTCACATTTTGCTATTCTGGTTTTTATCTCTTACAATTTAAATTGGTAAACACACAACTGCAAGTTTATATCTTGCAATTCTGAAGAAAAAAAAAAGTTAGAACTTTAAGAAATGTTTTGTTTATTATTTTTGCCAGCAAGACAATTAGCAGTTCTAAAAAGAAAAGTAAGCGAAATGTTAAGTTTATGTTATATATAAATATTAAATATTATAAAGGTATTGTATGTAAGATATTAAAGGTGCTGTATGTAAGTTTTTATCTCTTCTAAAGCATAAAAATACCACAATATGCTTGCAGATATTTAAGAAACATACTATATGAAAATACTTGTTTATCTAAAAAGCAATGCTTCAGTCAGTTATTCTGCTTTGAAAATGTTTCATGTCGAAATGTCTGTCTGTTTGGGTCTCTTTAACCTGCCCACTGCCAGTTTCCTCAATTATATTTCAGCACCCCGGGTTGCCTTGGTGGAAAGCACCACATATCTCATTTCAGTCAACGATTTATATGGATGCAGCCAAAAATACACTGTAGTTGGTTTTTAATTAACAAACAAAATAAATGTTATAATGGCGACGCAGTGGTGCAGTAGGTAGTGCTGTCGCCTCACAGCAAGAAGGTCGCTAGTTTGAGCCTCGGCTGGGTCAGTTGGCGTTTCTGTGTGCGTGTTCTCCCTGCGTTCGCGTGGGTGTCCTCCGGGTGCTCCGGTTTCCCCCACAGTCCAAAGACATGCGGTACAGGTGAATTGGGTAGGCTAAATTGTCCATAGTGAATGAGTGTCAATGAGTGTGTGTTTGGTTGTTTCCCAGAGATGGGTTGCGGCTGGAAGGGCATCCGCTCCGTAAAAACATGCTGGATAAGTTGGCGGTTCATTCCGCTGTGGCGACCCCGAATTAATAAAGGGACTAAGCCGACAAGAAAATGAATGAATGAATGAATGAATGTTACAAAAGTAAACATTAGCTGAGCACCTCACAGTTTATGGCTCAATCCTCAAGCATGCTCGCTCCTCTTGATGTCGTCAATCTGGCAACCTGCATGTGTGTCACTGAAATAAACATATTTTGAATTTGTACTGCAGTACCTATTTTAACCTCTAGGTGTCAATGCTAGATACTGCACCTTTAAGAATTCGCAATTATTGTACCTTTTTTATTTTTCGCACTGTGGTAGAAACTTTGGCAGGTCTTTTATAATTTTTTTAAAAATATTTGTTTTGTTTGATAGAATTGAATGTAAGTTTGTGTTATCTACAGGAAGCCCCACAACAGGTGCTCAGATTAACCTGGCCAGCCTGCGCAACAACAGCTTGACCAGTCAGGACAACCCGCTAGACAGCCATGCTGATTCCCGTCTGCGCAACTCCTGCATGTCTCTGGATGAGAAGACCCGCACTATGAGCCGCTCAGGGTCTTTCAGGGATGGCTTTGAGGAAGGTGAGAAAATAAATGCAGGAGACAGTAGATTCAAATGTCTTCTTCTCCACTTTCCAGTTATTCACAGGACTGTTATGATGTGTCTAATGGTCATCAGCATATTAAATCCTTACAATTTCTGAATATTTAGATTTTTTTAAACGTATGTACATCTGTATGTACAGTATTTACCAGAGGTGGGACCAAGTCATTGTTTGGCAAGTCACAAGTAAGTCTCAATTCATTGCCCTCAAGTCCCGAGTCAAGTCCCGAGTCAAGACAGGCAAGTCCCGAGTCAAGTCCCGAGTCAAAGGCAACAAGTCTCAAGTCAAGTCCAAAGTCCTGCAGTTTGATTTTCGAGTCTTTTCGAGTCTTTTTAACAGAAAAATAAAATATATACAGATTAGGTATGGTTGTAAGATCTGTATTAATTAAACAAACCTTTTTTTATTAAAGAACATTGCTTAGATATATAAAAATACAAATGCAATTTTTTGAAAAAGTACTGAACAGTGCTGCGTCTCGTCTCCACAGCATAATGCACAAGAACGAGTTCCACCAAAAAAAAGACTCCATTTTGCCTCACATCACACAGAAATTGCAGGTCTACTGCTGTCTAATTCATTAAGTTTAGTTGTGCTATGTTATGTCTTCGGTGATCAACTTGTGATTAACCAAAATTACATAACCTCAATGTGGTAGCAGTAGACCAACAACTCCTGTATATGCTGCAAAGTTAAATTGAGTAAAATTGGAATTTTGTCAATTGAATCTCGTGTGTGCTAAAGAGATGGAGTTGCAAATCCGTCTAGCAGCAATGTAAAATGGTAGCACATATTGTTAATGAAGTAGGCTACTTCATACAAACAATAACGTTGTTTTCTTCACATAACGTTGAAGAGCTTTGCTCTCTACCTTGTGTGATGCTCGTGCACGGATTTCCTCTGTTTGTGGACAAAACTGATTGCGAGTTCTCAAATTTTCTCTTGCTCTCAAATATGCACTGCTCACACACAAATTTTCTTGAGCGCTCTCAGAGATTATATGCAAACTCACAATTTGTGTCGTGTTCCCTCTTCCTTTCATGCTTTTTGATATGATTCATATTGCTGCACTGTTTAATAACAATACCCAAAATACTAAAATAGACTTATATATTAAATGTTTAATCTAATAAACCATAACATTTTTGGTTGTTTTATATGATGAGATATTTTCAGTTTCAAACACTTAAATACAGAGAATAGACCAGTGGTGCCCCCCTGAAAATTTGCTTAAGGGGGGCCAGAAGAGGCCAGCTACGCCAGTGGCACCAATCAATCCACAATAATTTAGTGGCTGCTATTTATTTATTGAAATATTGCATTGTATTGCATTTATGTAAGTAGATTTAAATAAATACTGTCAACAGCAAAATCATATCGGGTTGGCCACAGGGGTGGCTAGAGTTTACACAGGGGAAACACCCCTTGTAAAGGGGTTTACACCACTATAAGGCACCCCTGGAATAGATGTTGGATGTAAAGAATACATTTTATTTTAAAAGCATTTAAACAAAAACTAATGCAAGCAGAAATGTAACTGTGATAAAAATAAGGAAACACTTGATAAGGTATTATAGCCTACTGTACTATTCACTCTTCAAATAAATCTCACTATCAATCTCATTTTATCATGGCAGCTAAAATAAAGTAAACTAGTGTCTGCTGGCTTCCACTTTACTGATGAGATTGTGGAGGACATTTTCCATGTCATCCTCTTCATTTTGAGGAAAGCTGTGCCACAGGGCCCCTGAACACGTATATTGGCATGTACTGTGTTTTGAACAGTAGCCTACTACAGTAAAGAACTTCAATTGATCAGTTGTGGTAATACTATAGTTGCTATGGTAACACAAGTGTAATATAAACAAATTACCCAGTGCTGTATTATTTTACAATATAGGGTATTTTATACTACAAATCACTACACTTTACTGTAGTTAAAACTACACTTTGTATTATTTTATCTGTTCACTATTGGTAATACTACTGTATTATCAAGCATTAATTAACAAGTCGTAAATAATACTAGCCTAAAACATAAGTATAATACAAGTATACAACAAGTATAATACTCAAAAACACTAGAATTTATTAAAGAATTTACCTTAACCTTTTAGTTTTTTGTGTATTGTTAATAAATAGTAAAGCAAGAAAGAAACCATATCAACATTCTTGGAATAACCCTTCGCTAAGCCTCGCCCTCCTTAGTTACTGTTGCTACGCCTGTCAAGCTTTCATGCCTGGCACATCTATTACAGTGTGTATGCGCTGGTGTCAGACATTCCCTAAGGATTTAATTAGTCATTTTTGGCAAACAGGTGAGATATCTGAGAAAGCCAGACAAAAGAGGACTGCAGTATACATTACAGGGGTATATTCACAACATAATAGCAACTGATTAGAAAATAATTTTATCAAAATTGAAGCAAGGTTAGCCTAGCCACCTCATACGCTGAACATTCAACAGCATAGTTCATGCACAGCAGGAGAGGTGAAATTATAAAATAATCTAATAACCTAAGAAACTGATGGATTTGTGCCGAATATTAGCATCATTGACCCATAACAGTGTACAGTACCTATTACTGTCAGCATGTTTGTGTGCTCTTTATCCAGTTTTTATTCAAATTTGCAGTTAAGTGGAAGAAAAAAATTGAAATGCACATTAAAGTATAAATAACAGAAGTGAACAAATAGATTTTTCCTACCAGCAAATATTAGTGTATGTATTTATATGCGTTACAATAGCGAGGGTTTAAACTAAGCAGTGCTCACAGGGTTCAACGCTAAGGATTTTTTCTACTGGCCCGATCGGGCCAGTGGTTCTGATTTTTACTTGCCCTGCCCAAATTTTCACTGGCCCCACCAAAAAAAAAAAAGAAGTTAATCGCTATTTGAATGTGCGTGTGTGTGTGTGTGTGTGTGTGTGTATACACACACACACACAAACACACACAGTTGATTTTAGAATTATTAGTCCCCCTAAATTATTAGCACCCCTGTTTATTTTTTTCCCCAATTTCTATTTAACAGAGAACAGATTTTCTCAGCACATTTCTAAACATAATAGTTTTAATAACTCATCTCTAATAACTGATTTATTTTATCTTTGTCATGATGACTGTAAATAATATTTTACTAGATATTCTTCAAGACACTTCTATACAGCTTAAAGTGACATTTAAAGGCTTAACTAGGGTAATTAGGTTAACTAGGCAGGTTAGGGTAATTAGGCTAGTTATTGTATAATGATGGTTTGTTCTGTAGACAGTCTGAAAAACAATTAGCTTAAGAGGCTAATAAATTTTACCTTAAAATGCTTAAAAAAATGTTTTTATTTTAGCCAAAATAAAACAAATAAGATTTTGTTCAGAGGAAAAAATATTATCAGACAAAATATCAACATTTCTTTGCTTTGTTAAACATCATTTAGGAAATATTTTAAAAAGAAAAAACAAAAAACAAAAGGGGGCTAATAAATCTGTATATATATTTACAGTAATTTTAAAAATGCTTAAGGAAAACTATTCAGTTCATCAAGGCTATATTTATAAATGTAAAAAAGGTTTAATTGTTAAATATTTATCAAAATTTTAAATAACTGCTTTGTTATTGTATGTAGTTTCAAATAAAATCATTACTCCAGACATTATTGATTTTATAACTATTACCATTAATAAATATAATAATAATTAATATTAGTGATTTCTGAAGGATCATGTGACTGGAGTAATGAAGCTGAAATCTCATCTTTAAAATCACTGGAATAAATGAATAAATTAAATGATAAACTATTTTTGAACAGTTATTTTATAGTGCAACATTTCACAATTTGTATTTATGATGAAATAATTGCAGCCCTGGTGAGCAGAAGAAGCTTAATTTAACATATTTAATCACACTGACCCCAAACTTTTGTGTATTGTGTATAGAATATTTTATAAGTGAAAATGTGCACTTTAATTTTAACAACCCACAGACATCGTCACCAAATACAAATCGAGGTCAGACTTTCTCATATATACAGAGCCTCATTTCAATTGTCAGGTTTTGTAGAAATCGATCTATTGAATTAATCAATCTATTAAAGAAACGTTGACTATAATTCTGTATTTTAGGCTTAAATTATAGAGAGACATAGCAGATGAACCGAGACTGCATCAGATCAATGTAAATCTTTCTTTCGAGCTGTCAGTGCGGAAATGAACAAAACAACAGGCCTAATACAACATATTATACGATTAAAATATGGAAAAATTAACAGATAGTAATTTCGGTCAATTTTCCTGACGGATAAACCGAGATCAGGCTGGACAAACAGCTCTCGGTAATATTTCAGCATGCTTTCACTTTCGCATTTACCGGTAAGAATGACATCTCGCCCTGCTCATCATTCCCTCTTCATATAGCCGTATATATGGCTATTACACGATCATGATACACTGTGATATAGCCTGGGTCGTTAGTTCGTTGCATTGTTTTGTTTTCTCGCTACAATCGATCTGCTCAATAGGGCAGAGACCGCGTCTCATTCAGGCGATCTTGGACTGATTGATTTGGCGCGGAAGCGAGCGCAACTGCTGGATATATGCTAAAAAAAACGCGCTAACGGGTGAAACGAGACAGATTCCGAAACAAACGTCTATGTGTGAAAGCACCGTAAGATTGTATTTGCACACAATTGACAGACAGTCGCAGCACGCAGCTCTGGCTCGATCTGGCAGGCAAAAAGGCAGCAGCTGGCCCGATCGAGCCAGTAACATTTTGTACACTGGCCCGAGTGTCTCGCACGCTGGCCCCGGGCCATCGGGCAGTCCTTATTGTCGAGCCCTGGCTCATAATATCGAGTGGAAAAAAAGAAAAAGACCGCTGGGAAGCATAACCTGCTTTGTTTTTTTTTTGTTTTGTTTTTTAAAGAAACACAGGTTAGATCTGTTTAGGATAAGAGGAGTGTGAGTTATTGCCACCTATCATTGA